AATCAATAAACAAAATTCATATATACTTACAATGATTAATATCAGTTTGCCATAAAAAGAAATGAAATACGAATGCCACATACATGAGGCTTGTAAACATTACGCTAAGTGAGAACTATGCATTAAAGGGCCATATGTTGTATGATCTCACTTTATACGAAATGTTCAGATTAGGCAACTCATAGAGACTTGAAAGTGAGAATTGTATTTAGAGGCTGAGAAGTGGGGCCAAATGGGGAGTGACTGCTAAATGGGTCTGAGGTTTCCCTGTTTGATGATGAAAATGTTCTGACCTAAATAGTGGTGATAGTTAACAACATCCCAAATGTACTAAAACCGCTGAATTATATACTTTAGTTGAAGTAGATTTACTTATGTACATTTACCTTAAAAATATTGTTAAGAAGATGAGAAGGCAGACCACAGACTGGGAGAAATATCTATAATACAATTATTTGACAAAATCATCATATCCATAGAATGGAAGAACCTTTACAGTTCAGTAATAAAAGAAAGTATTTTCCCAGAAAGGGTTAAAGACTTGAACTTTGAGAGAAAGTCCCAACGAGGTAGATCTTGCTGAATATGGAGGACGTTTTTATAGCATGAACTTCTGCCTTCTCAGACGTGAGCTCTTCATCACCAGGATATAAGCACTGGGCGCTGTAACAGGAAATTCCAGCCTCAGATGAGGAAGGGGGAAGTGAGGCTGGCTTTAGTAACCTCTTGTTTCTGGAGCTGTCCCACCCCCTCGGTCTATACATCCAAGACTAGATAGATGGGGACACAGAGCCAGCCCCCTGCTCCACGCTGCATGCATGCCTGACCTTCCCTGACCTTTGTTCATGGCGCTGGTGCACCTGTCTACTTCTATGAGCTCTGCAATCGGCCCCAGTGCTTTGGAAATATCACCCAAAAATGTTCTTCTCCCCACCGAGGTGGAGGAGAGGCCTGGCCCAGGAGGAGGGAGGAGGCGAGGGAGGGAGGAGCGACCGTTGTGTTTATAGGTAAATATAATTTTCTGGAAAAACAGTTCTCTACTCATTTTTAGAAGCTAAGATGAAAAAGCACTGTGAGGTTGCTTGATGAGGGCTTTCTTTGTACTGAAACCTGCGAGGTGTGGCCAATTTCCCCCGGAGCACCTGCCAATCCAAATAATTAAAAAAATATATTAGAACCATTTTCTTCCTTTGACCACGGGTCTTACCTCCTCCTTCCCAGAAACCCCATGAGGCCACAATCTGGAGGCTTTAAGAGGCAAGGACCATGTTTTCATAATTCCAGCTCCAAGTGGTCTGCACCCAGATGAGCCTGCGCAAAGGCTGTGAACTGTTACTTGTGATGTTAGCCTTCATTTATTCTTAAATTTATGACATATTTGGTGCCTAAAATAAACCAATCAGATGAGGTTATCAATAGAAAAAATTTGCAGGGAAAATTACACACAGGAGCTATCACTAAACTATTTAGTTAGAAACATTACACAATGCAGGCTCTTAACTTATTCAGACACTGACCCTGACAAAAGAGAGTGAACATTCCATATAGAGTGTGTTTGTGCACTGTGGTTTATTCATTATTTCAGTTTTTCATCCTCATCTTACAAATACAGATAATAAAGAACTTCCTCTTAGGTTGTCATATGACTAAATAAAATAAGCCCCATAAAGTAAGAGTGAATAGCTAATAAATGTCACTGTTATTTCTCAGCAACCATTCCTGAGCCCATACTATGTATTGGCAGGTCAGGACTCCTAAACTGGAAAGCACAATATATGTATCAAAAGGTGAAATTCCTTTGATGTCTAAGGAGCTCCAAATTTGTAAGAAAAGAATAACCTAATTGAAAACTGGGTAACAGATACAAACACAGTTTAAAAAGAAAACATAAGTGCCTTCAGACATATGAACATCCTCCCTCATATCAAGCACTGCAGACCATCCTTCTTAGCAAGGAATTATTTTTCATCAACTGCTGCTGAAAAAACAAAACACTTAAAATAATGCATTCTAGCAGGTGTGAGAAACAATTTTATACATTAATAGAGAAGTCTATCAACATTTAAAATGCATGTAAGGCTGGGCGTGGTGGCTCACACCTGTAATCCCAGCACTTTGAGAGTCTGAAGCGGGAGGATTGCTTGAATCCAGGAGTTCCAGAACAGTTTGGGCAGCATAGTAAGACCCTCTGTCTACAAAAAAAAAAATTAATAACAAAATTAGCCAGGCATGGTGGCACACACTCAGTCCCAGCTACTTACGAGGCTGAGGTAGGAGGATCACTTGAGCCCAAGGGTTTGAGGTTACAGTGAGCTATGATCATGGCCCTGAACTCTAGTCTGGGCAACAGCATGAGACTCCTGTCTCAAAAATTGTTTTCATTTTTATAAAATAAAAAGAAAATGTGTGTAAATTTAGCCAGGTGTGTGCTGGCTCATGCCTGTAATGCCATCACTTTGGGAGGCTGAGGCAGGAAGAATTGCTTGAGCCCAGGAGTTGGAAGCTGCAGTGAGCTGTGATCGTGCCACTGCACTCCAGCCTGGGTGACAGAGTGAGACCTCACTTTATAAAAATAAATAACGTAGATTGAAATGTATGTAGTTTTAGCCTGGCAATTTACTTCTAGATTTTGTAAAGATATTTCACATAAAATAGATATACACTGAAATACTGCTTTTACCAGCAAAAAGATCGGAAACATGACACATACATTATATATTTATATGTAATTGCATATAAACATGTTCATATAATATATAATTGCTGTTCATAGAAACAACAAATGGTAGTTTGACAAGGACAAGTCCTAAGGCGAGACTCAATGAACAAAAAGATAAACATGCAGAAAACCAAAACCCATTCTTCCCAACCCGACTGTGCAGAAGGTAGGCTCTGCACCTGTCCCTCCCTCTAGACTTTGCCACATGGCATTTCTCCAAGCCCAGAACTCTTGGGTGTTTCTGGAATTGACCCTGCACAGAGACACCTGTGTCCTTTTGCTCATGCGATTCCCACTGTTTAGAAATTCTCACTCCTTTCCTCGCCTGTCAATATTCAGTGCCCAGAGCCCACTGCAGGCGGGCAGCGCCTCCTCCACGTAGCCTGACTTGCATCTCCTTCCAGAGAGGCTGCTCCTCTTGCTGCCCTCCCAGGGCAGGCCTGCCTGAACTGGACAGCCTCTTAAGGAGGCCAGACTTGCACCCCAATCCTGTTCTGTATTTTTAGCTTTATTGAATTACGATCTGTACCTTGTCCAGCTGGGTCTGGTCCCTGTCACAGAACATCTCCCCCAGGCAGCCCAAACTAGCTCATCAATCATTGGCTTTTGTAGAGCAGATCAAAGGTCCCTGAAGCCATAGGGTCTCAAAGGCTAGGAATTGTCCAGTTCCATCTGATCTCCAGGAGGGAAATACAGCCCATGGAGCGTGGAACTGGAAAGATGGCACAGAGGATTGGGGTCTAGGAGAGGAACCCGCAGCAACCCTGCTAACAAGTAATACCTAACATTCATTCAGCTCTTCCAGACACTAGATGCTGTGCTAAGTATTTCACATGTGTTCAGCCATTTAAGCATCATAATAACTCACCTCGTAGATGAGAAAACTGAGGCCCAAACAGGTGAAACTCCCAGTCAGTAAGTAGCAGAGCCAGGCTTCAGATGGTGTTAATCTGCTTTCAATGTCCATGCTCCGTTTTTAACACCACTGTGACTAAATATGAAATATAAAAATATAACCGTACCCAGAACCAGCTGCCCTGGTGGCAACACATGAGTCAGGCTCTCTCTAATCTGTGACAGTATAAAAATTATTCATCAATGGTAAAACCTAAAATTAAGACATGGATCAATATACTGTGAGTTCATCACTGATTCTTTCCTTAATGATTTTCTCTCTAATAGGGAATCAAGTCCTAGTTTAGGCTCCTTGAGTGATGACGGTTCAGTACCTCCTCAAAGCCACCCATGGATCAGTAACAGCTCTTGTTTAAATTCAGCTAGATAGCAACATCTCTCCTCATTAATCATGGATTCTGCATTTATAAATTCACCTGCTTGCTAAAATGTCCTTGTAACCCCCAAATCGATACTGGTGGCACTCTCATGGTCACACACAGGCAGGCACAGAGCAGGGGAAGGTGGATTTGCACGATGGGCACGTTCCATCTGAGATCCGGCGAGGCCACCTCTGTCTTCTCCTTTCATCTCTCATGCTAACAAGTGTCCTCTTCGCGGTCTATTTAGTGCCATATGTTCTGCATTTTTGTGCTTTTTGTGGTGATGTCACTGTTTAGAGTGGCCCCAAGAGAAGCGCGGCCTTCTGGCATTCCTGAGCTAAGCAGGCTGTGCTGTGCCTTACGGGGAAGGTGCTTGTGTGAGACAAGCTTGGGTGAGGCAGGAGCTGCCGTGTTTCTGGCCATGCATTCGGTGTTGAAAAATCCACAAAATAGCACATTCAGAAAAAGGAGAAGGAAATTGGCCGATTCATACATGAGGCTGTGATGGAAAGGGCTAAAGTAACACCTCTTGTGTGGGATGGAGCTGTGGAAGTGTCTTTCAACAGAAACCCACACAAAAAAGAAGGTTGATGAAAATGTTGTGGCCAGAGGTTTGCAAGAGCCTAACCCGGTATTTCCCCTTTGAGTGATGACTCTGTATTCTCTAATTCAGCACTCATGGGAGCTTTATCGGAAGCAACTGCCAGGACTACCAAAAATCAACTGTGGATAGAGAGAGGAAAATGCATGCGCTTCAAATTGAAATATATAGGCATGTGATTTTATATAGATAATACATATATTTCAATCTGAGTGAAGATTTCTTCCTCGCCTCATCACCTGACCAGTGTCAGTCTCTGCCTGAAGTTCTACCCCTGAGTCACAGAGACCTACCCCCTTAAGTTAGGACCCTGAGCATGTGCAGCCATGGCCCATAGTCACGCCGGTCTGTGGTACCAGTCTCACCCTCGGACAGGTAGAGTTGGGGACATGGGTGTGACCAGGGACAGAATCACAGGCACTGCATTGCTCTCTCCCAGAGTCACCCTTTGTTTACCACCGTGATTGATGGGGTGCTGCTGCCGAAAACACCCGAAGAGCTTCAAGCTGAAAGGAAGTTTCACACTGTCCCCTACATGGTCGGAATTAACAAGCAAGAATTTGGCTGGAATCTTCCAACGGTGAGAAGGCGCAGGCCTCTTGGAGGGACTCACCCACCCCCATCAGCCCTCCTATCTCTGGTCCCAGGAGTGCTTCCTCTCTGAGCCCCACTCTGAGTCCCAGGCAGCTGTTCCCTTCAGATGGTGTTGCCATTTCCATGGAAACCTTCTCCAGGAGGGCACAGGGGTCACCTGGGTTTCAGAGCCCTGGGATTCCCTCTTCCTATATTCTCTGATTGTCTTCCTAAAGAATCCTGAAGTGTCTGTTCTGGGAGGGCCAGTAGAGAAAGTAATTTTGCAGATGGGAAAACTGAGGGGGCTTAGGAGGAGAAAGGAGTTGAGGAGTACAGAGAGGCAGTCAGTCAGGGGCTTCCTGGCTTCCCACCTCGGGCTGCCTATGCATAGTTCCTCCGAAAATCACTCATGCTCTTCATCATCTCATTGGAAATATCCAAAGAAAGTGGCTTCTTCTTGAGTTACTATTGACTTCTAGGGAATAGTAGACATCAGGTCTACTTGAGAGTGCAGGGTCAGAGGAAGATGAGGATGGAAAAGCTACCTAATCGGGTGCCATGATAAATACCTGGAGATAAAATAATCTATGCAGCAAACTCTATAGACCCAAATTACCCATGATCAAACCTGCACAGGCACCCCCAAACCTAAAATAAAAGATGGAAACAAATAAATGGAAAAAGTGATTAACTTCTAAAAGTAAAGAAGGGTTCTCCTTCCAGCTGAAGATAAACAAAGCTGACCCTGGTTAAAGTTGTAGGTTGGGTTTATTCAGTGACATGATTGCAATAGGGAAAACAGTCCAGCATGGACAGGACTCACATCCCCGAAATAGAAGCCTAGCAATGTTTCATAGGCCAGGTGTGCCAAGGGAAACACACTGTGGTCTGTGGGGAGGGGCTTGGTCCGTGTGGCTAGGCCACCTGGATGTCTTCATCCTGGCTCACCTGGGGCAGAAACAAACTTCTCTTATCTTCAGGACAGGAAGCCATGCGTTAGACTGCAGGACATCACAGCTGGGCAGGATGAAACCACACAAGTCAGCCTCTACTCTTCACAGGGACTGGGAAGATCAGGGAGTGAGCTCCTAAATCTTATGTCACCCTCATCCTCCGCCTCCATCCTCCTCATCCGCCTCACCCCCATCCTCCTCCATCCTCTCTCTGGTAGGTTCCTTCAACCTTTCTGCTTCTGTCAATTTTGGCACAGAGCAATGGGGTGTGGGGTTTTGGGACAGATTGTGTTGGGATGCTGGGGTCGTTCTGGGGTTTGTGTGGCTGCTATAAGCGTGCTAGAGTTTGGTCAGATCTCTGAGTGCAGGAAGTTTGGGAAGAAATGTTATGTGCATAGAGATGTGCAGTTCGCCCCTCAGAAGGATTTCAGAGGTTCTACCAAAGATCAAAGCCATGAAGGCAGGATCTAAGGCTTTCAGTGTCATCTGCTACATGGCAGTGCCAGGAGGTCTACATCCTCTTCTCCAGAGTCCTCCATTCCACACTGGCCTGGCAGAAACCTTGGCTCTCCATGTCACTAGCCACTATAGAGATCCCAGACACACACACACACACACACACACACACACACACACACCCCGCAAAATACTGCCACAGCTTCTCGAAAATTTTTTCTTTTTTTGTAATCTTTTAATGCTTGAGTTTCTGGATATAAGCCCATTTGATTAATTGATTTTGCCCATTTCAGAAAGACCCATGTCATAAAGCCCCCAAATTAGAGGAGTTTCAGTCTGCATTGGTTTGGTTGGTTGGTCAATTTGTTTCTTCGTTAATTCCCAGTGATTCTTAAATGTACTTTTTTAACAGTCGATGGGCTATCCACTCTCCGAAGAAACTGGACAGAAGGCAGCCATGTCACTCTTGTGGAAGTCTATCCCCTTGTTGTAAGAGTCTAAGAGATGTAGGAATTGGCTGAGCTCTGAGAGGACAATGAGTTGCCACAAATCGTAAAAGAAGCAATTAAAGGCCGTCAAAGACTGAGGGACTCAGGGTTTCCCCATCTTTCCACCTTTCCCTTCTTTCCATCCTAGCAGGGGAGTTGCACAGGGCACAGTAAGGTTCACCATTGAGACAGGCCGCTCCAGTGGGCTGGAGAAGCGCATTACTCACCAGGGGATTGTGGCCCTTGGCAGTCTATTTCAGTACATTACTAAGGAATTGATTCCAGAAGCCACTGAGAAATACTTAGGAGAAGACAGGTGACCTGTCAAAAGAAAGACCTGTTCCTGGACTTGATAGCAGATGTGATGTTTTGTGTCCCGTCTGTGATTGTGGCCCGGCACCACAGAGGTGAGTCCCAGAGGTCGAACAGGGGAGGGACATGGACCCTACCAGCTTCTGTATCTGACCCGCCTACCTCCCAGCATAGACAGACCTGGAAACAGCCGAGGGTCAGGCTTCAAAAGCTGATTCCATATGTCATGGCATGAGGTTCTGTCTTATTTTGGTTTATGCCAGCAGCAGACTGAGAAAAAAAATCCAGAGGCAAGTGGTTTTTTAAGTTGGTGATCCCAGATAACAGCAATTAGGATGTGGGGGAAGTGAAGGAAGAATGGAATCAATCCATGATGCATTGCCGAGGTATCCACTGTGGACAACTGGAGGCTAGGAAACTCAAGGAAACATGGAGAATACAGTGCTCAGGCATGTCCCCAGGTGGCAGGGAGACAGGTATTTGTCTGCTTCTGCTGTCATTGGTTGAAGGCTCTTGCAAGGAGTTGTTTATTGCCTGTGACTTTGACCTGCTGCACACAAGGGCAGAGTAGTCTCTTGTGACCAGACAAAGGCCTCAGGTCAGGAGCTACAGATGCTGGAGGTGATCAGGCTAGCATGACCAGGAGGAGGATATTGGTGAGACACTGACAGCATCTGCTGCAAGGAGCTCCATACCTGGAGTTATCGTGGGACATTGGGCGGCTGTGGGACAAACACTGAAAGATGAGTAGATTGAGGGGTATTTAGGTCGGCCCGCTGCAAACAAGTTTGTTAAGTATTGGAGCTGGATAAAAAGTAGAGCCCTGCATGGGATCCTGGAGGATTGTCCAGGATTACGAAAGGCCAAAGGGGAGGAGCCAGGGCGGCTGTGGGGGAGGTGGTCTGAGAATGGCAATGTCTGAGACTGGCTTTTTCTATCTCGCTGTTTGCAGTAATGGGCAAGCACAGGTCCAGGGCAGGGTCTATGCAGGACCTTCTACCACTGACCAAGGCTGTGTGGAGTGGGGTGTGAAGTTAGGGATAAATGGACTCATCTAGAGAATAAACAACTCATGCAGAGCCTTCAGCCAGTGTCCTTTCCTGCAGAGTGCCAACTAGAGGGCTCACAGGACTCTTCCCAGCTCTCATTCGCTAGCCTGCAAGCCAGGAGATGTCCTTTCTCTAACCATCCTGGGAAGGGTTTTAAATTTGGAACTTCATAAGCATGATAAAAACTAGCTAAAGCTGATCTAACAGGTGCCCAGACACTGGTTTGCACAGGAGGGGGCCTGATTAAACCCTATAACCAGGACCACTGCAATTGAATCTGTTCTTTCTTAAAGTTGACCTTGCCCCATACTGTGCATCTCATCTATATATAATGTTCGCATCTCCATCTTCTGATGGTTTGAGCAATACTGAACTTCTGTTTTTCATCTGATTTCCCATGACTTTGAGTTCAGCATGTTTTTTTGTCTTTTTTTTTCCCAGACCTTTAATTTTATCAACTTTCCTGACCATCGTCTCTCACACTTTTTGATAAAAATAACATTTCTGAATATAAAATTGGTATGTAAAATTGCAGAGGTTTCAAAGGCCAATGAGAGCTTGCAGAAAAGAAAAACTAGTATCACTCATAATTCCACTATCTGAAGCAAGTGGTATAAATTTTTATTTTCATCTGAAGATTTTCCATGTCCTATATGCTAGAATAATTTACTCTTCCCCCACTTTTATTCCTACAACACTATGTTGTGAGGGATTTTCACAGATGTTGATACAAACTCATCAGGCGTTTCCATTTTTGGCCACTTGGAATGGCTCATTAGATTAGTTGTGTTCTGTCTATTATGCATTTGTGGCTGCTCACACTCTGATGCTACAATAACATTTGTGCTCCTTCAATGTTCGTAAGTCTCTAACCACATGTCTAACAATTTTCTTTGAATGGTACAGAAGTGAATAACTATGCTGGACAATAGAAATGTTTTAGAATTCTGAGCAACTACTGCAAAATTGCATTCCATTGCATAAGAATGTGGATCTCTTAATTTTCCTGTCATTTGAAAGTTCACTGGGTTAAATGCTAACATAACACTGCAGTTATAGCCTTCCCCACCAACAAGAAGCACATCAGCCTGGCTTTTAATCTGCATGTCTCACGGCTAGCCCTCTCATTGTCTCCTGCTCTTATTGTGCTGGTGTCATTACCCATATCTCGCCTCTTTCCTCTGAAGACTTTGATTGCTAAGTTGTATAAATATCAATGGCTTTAACCAAAGGTTTTACAAAGTACATTTTGGGCAGCATGCTGCCTATAATAAGTTCTCTCATTCCCCAAAACTCTTTCTTCTGTAGTTGGCTCTGAGTTTCTTTGGAGAATCTTCAAAGGGCAAAGGTGAGGAGTCAAACCCCTCCCATTTAGCAAGTTTTACTTGACCTCGAAGCAGTCATTTAACAGGTGGATTACAGAGCCACAGAAGGATGGCATCATCCCAAGCACGCTTCCTGCTGAGCTGAGGGTGCAGTGAAGGAGACTGACAAAGATGAGCGAATAGATTCTTCTTCATTCTCGCATTGAAAGTAAGCATGTGCGGAGTGGGGCATGAGGTTAGGGATGGTGCAGCTCCCATTGTTAAATCCTTTTGTGGATGAATGATATTTAAGGATGTAAAAATAATGGCTGGAGGTGGTGAGCATGCCAATACTCTCAGCACTTTGGGAGGCTGAAGTGGGAGGACTGTGAGACCTAGGATTTCAAGACCAGCCTGGGAACATAGTGAGATCCTGTTTGTAAACACATTTAAAGAAATAATTATACTACAAAATACACTGAATATAATATATGGTATATATACACTACAAAATCATATCATCCCAGGTTTATATACATGAAAGAGAGATATGCTAAAATCAAAAAGAAACATTATCTGAGTGGTTGAGTTATAGTGATATTCTGAGATTTGATTGTAATATGGATTTTAAATGAAATAACATAGGATATGGAAAAATTTTAGAAGGAAATACAAAAAATGCATAGCCATGTCTCGAGTAGTGAAAATTTATAGGTGATATCTAGTTTTTTGCTTTGTGTGTTTCCATATTTTTGTCTCTTCTAATTATTCCTAGTTGTTTTGCAAGTTTTATTTCTCAAATTATTACCACAAAGAGAGAACATTCTAAATTTTCTCCACCAGCCTGGCATTGCCTGACTCTTTCTGTAGTATCACTTCTACGGTGGTATCAGGACCGGTCTGGTGGGCACAGGGCCAGGCAGCCCACAAGAGTAACACAGAGGAGCGTGGTCATCGACAAATGGTGATCGTTGGGAAATGGCATCCTTCTTGGGAGCAGGACAGAGCTTTGTTGCCAGGATAGGAGCAGGCAGAGAGGACAGGAGAGCAAGGTCACCCTTGGTCATGTCTACTATCTGCCAAGGACTGTGCCTTACCTAACATTCCAGTGATGAGGCAGCAGATTTTATGGGGACAAGTGAGTCACAAACGATGGCTGAATTCCGGAGACACAAGGCAGATTGTTCCTTCTATATGTTTGTATTTAAATAGCCTCACATTCAGACCAACCAACTGGGTTGGCCAGTCTTCATAAGTTGAGTGAGGAAAACACTGGAAATGCTCAAAGGAGGTAAGCAGGTACATGCATCCAGGTGGGACGTCCAAAGTGAATGAATATAAAACAATATCAATAAGTACATCAAATGCCACTGTACAAAATTTCTTCTCACTCCTCTGCCGCCCTCCACTGCGTCATCCTCATCTTCACTCCAGCTAAACCGGATTTCCATTCAGTGTTCTTATTCAGTAGGCTCATCTAACTCAAATTCAATTCCATCTTCATGCAACCTAGAGCACATCACTGGCTTTCCTGTAACTCTGTTTCTCTACTGATGGGGTTTCCATGCAGGCTGGAGACCTTGGTAACCTCCGGAGTGTGTGTCTGGTAACATGAACTGACATGAATCCTTGTCTTCTCCAGATGCTGGGCGCCCACCTACATGTACTGAGTTCAATGTATTCCAGCCTTCTCATCAGACCACCAAACCAAACAGCGTGTGAGGCTCACGAGACAAACTCTTCTCTGTCACTTAGGGCCCATTTTAAGGTAATGGCTCTGCTGTCCACAGGCTTGAGGTCGGAACCTGTGGTTCCAGTGTTGGTGTGAGCTTAGCCAAGGTTTCATACCTCTATTCTTGATTTCTGATTCATCATAACAGGATGGACGTCGTGCAGGTAGTCTGGGCTTCTCCCATCTAGCACACGTGAGGCAGGATGTGTATTCATGTGACCTCTGCTGACCATCCAGTCCTGAACTATGTGTCTCAAACAAGATAGGTGGTAGGACACATGCAGGCCTACTCACAGGTTGAGAAATCACCGATCCATTTCCTCTCCCAGAAGTGCTGAAAATACGAGTGAAGGTGAGGGTTAGAATTAGTGTTAACTATAGTCAGTCTAATGTGTGTCTGTTTGTCTTTCTGTCTGTCTCAACAAAAACTCATAAACCTTTAAATTTAATATATGTAACAATTGTTAATTTTAAATCACAGTTGTATTTAGAATAGGAGACTTTATTTTTAATATGCTATATAGGTTTGGTGTTGGTTGTGGCGGGCGGACATGGGTTCTGGGTGATCGAGGAGGTTGGGTAGGGCTTTCTGTGAATGGTTTTGCTAAACACACATATTCCGCCCGGGTTGCAGGAGGAGCGATGATTATTCCTTGAAGACGGTCTGACACCTGTGTAGTAAACAAGCATGTAACATGGCCATGTTTACCTGGTAGTGAGACCTAATATTTAAATATATTATAATTAGGACCTGTAAGTCCAAAGATCTTCTTAGGACATAAAGCCAGCCAAGTGAGCAGCCTCTGTACGGCCAGGTCCAGTGCATCGTTGGTGATGTTGTGTGTGGAAAAGTTACTGAAGTCAGTCTCTTTGCAATCAAAGCCAGTAGTTAAGACTGGAGGGTCAGGTTTCTGTTTGTCTCGTATCCCAGCTGCAGCCCATTTGTAATTGTTTTCATTTTGCTTAACTCCAAATGGCCTTTGTTGGCTGCCAGAGAAACAGAAGCCTCA